CCTCTAACTGTAAACTCCTGGAGTTAGCGACTTGTGGCTCCACTCGTCACGACAAATCCTCTACAAATAAATTAGGTGAACAGGTTGGTTCTAATTGAAACTCCAACAATTAAACTCACCTGAGTGCTAACCTGTTTCATTATTCAATGACCCCCTTTCTCCAGTACTTGATGTTTAACTATGTAAGGGATATTTGCCCTACAAAATGTTTAAAGCTGAAAGTGATAATTTCTAAAAATAGCCCATAATGCCTCAAATGAACAATGTGATTTATAGCTTTGTGCCCATGGCTTTAATTAACTAATACACAAAGAGGAAGAAGACTTACCAGGAATAATTTCAAATCTAGCAATTAGAGCAGTGTCATTTCTCAAGCAGTTACCTCGAGCCACAGAGAGGTAAGCCCCCGTCTTAGCTGGAAGATTAAAACTTGGCACAAACTGGGTTTTTGCTGTAATTGTTGCTAACGGGGTTACTTGCTCATCTAGTTTGAACAAGCTAATTTCATCTCCCGCAAACAGGTTCAGAAAAGGTATTTTGAGAGAGAGAATGTCTACAGAAAGAAAAAGGGTTGATTTTATTCTAATGCAAGATACTTAACTAAAAAGGTTTATAGACATATATGGTCATCTCAACATTAATTTAAAGTTTTTTTTTATGAATAGATGATAGCAGAGTTGGACTAATAAATTAATTAATCTAGTTAATCAGTTACCTATAAATATCAATTACATTAATTAGTGTCATATAAAATTATTAATTAATCAAACTTATAATTAAATCAAATAATGTCACAAAAAAAAATCAACTAACTGATATCATTGTTTCTAGTTATTACTATTTTCGGTTATTGAAACTATCCAAGTAACTGAACAATAGTGTTTCTGATCATTAGTATTTTTTATAATTTAATCTATCCAATTTTCACGTGAAAATAATCAAATAGATGAATACAATCAATTTTTACAGCCCAATAGTTAATCAAATGTCAAATTTCACTAACTGCCAACTGTAGGTGATAGTATACATTAATCCAAAATCCTGGATTACATGATAGAAACAAGTTTCCTTGAGTTAAGAAATAAATAAAAAAACAATTCTATAACTAACTGAAGGTTAATACACATATATATATTACATATATAACACCACAAACAATATTATAACACAAATAACACTAATTAAAACACAATTTTACATGGTTCCCACAGCCAGTCATTCATCAACAGCCAAGAAGAAGAAGAAGAAAGAATGAAAGAAAGAAAAGAAAAGAAAAAAACAGCTTTTCCAACTTCAGTTCAATAACAAGTGGTAAAGCCCTGCATTTTTTTCAAACAAAACACTGTTTTGTTAAAAACTCCTCTAGTGTGTAAGCAAAACTAAATAATATTTATTGAACTTGTTATTTAACTTGCTAATAGAACAAAGAGTCAACTTGTACATGATTGGCTGTTGAATATACAGCACAAATCCTCACCATAACAACCAAGCTAACAAAGCAAAGATTCATCCTTACATTGTTACAAAGACCACTTTAATATTGTTATGCACATTAACAATGTCATATATCTCATGGTTTTCAACACTTTTGTATTTCATTAGTTTTAATTCCCAGTTTACTGCTGCAATTGTACTTAACAGAGAATTTTCAAAGAACTAGAAACTTTTTGGGTCAATAAAACCCAATGTGGTGTTCAATCTGTACATTTTCTTGTATGACAACACATACAATATTTTTTCTGAATAATTTTGTACATTTGTCAAGGCTGCTGTAATGTGCATCAGTCATCACAGGGTATGATGATTACAAATAAAAATCATGAACCAGTTTTTTAAGAATCTTATTCATTTAAGACCCAAAACAACACACAAAAGATCTGAATAAGAATCAGTCACGTGGGTAAGCTTGGTGTTACTTTAGAAGTAAAAAAGATTAGGTTTAAAAGAGTCTTGGAGATGATCTCAGCTAAGCTTGACAGAAGTTATCTCTAATCCAGTAAAAGTGACTGTCCATCATCAAACAATCAAGTATATATATATATATATACACACACAGTGTGTTTGTATTAGTGTAAACAATAGAAATTCTTCATTTGTGTTTTATACTGTGTTCACACTCTTTATTTCATTCCCATGAACTCAGTTATTCAGAGAAATTCAGCACTATTCTATAATAAATATCTTAACAAATCTCCTATTATTCAGTGGATCTATCTTTTCCTTCTATGAGAAATCAGTTTGATATGAAAATACCACATCTGTGAACCCTGATTTTACTTTATACACAGCTAAATGAGCTGGTACAAAATACAAATAAACCTACAGGATACACCAAAAATAACAAATAAACAAGCAAAACAGTGGTTTTCCCATTTCAGATATGAAAAAAGAAAAGAGTGACACTAAAGGTAATCAATAATGAACACCCAGCAGTATACGTATAATTGTCTTTTGATTTCATAACATACCAACAGCATGCATTTATTTATTCCCGGATTTTAGGTACTCTTATATTTTGACCATACTATGATTAACAAATTATCTATTTCCAACTTCTATCTAGGATATACAGGATAATAATAAAATCTACAGTCACTAGTATACGTAAATATATGAGTACAAAACACTCTCCTGGAATTATATTTGTGAGAATAATCGTAATTGTCAATATTTTAATTAAAATATGAAATTTTATTAATGCCTTTGTATTAACCCAATGTCTTTTAATTCTCTCACAGGGGTTAACTGATAGGGTTAACTGCTGGGACAAGTTTATAAGTGCTGAAAGAAGATTCTTTTAATTTATTAAGATACATAACTGAAAACAAAATAGATGTTAATTTCATTTAAGTGATACTGCTTTTTATTATTTTTATATCAAGAAATGTTGTTGTAGTTTGCTGTCTAACTGCTAATAGCGTAATTCTTAATAGTTTATTTTTATAGTTCTTGTACAAAATACTAAATATTTGTAGTTATTTATAACTACAGTTATATGTTTACATACAAATGCACATACTATATTCTACAGTAAGACATAAGTTAGATATTGAAGTGGCAAGTTGTTATTAACAGATGGCTTTTAATTTGCCTAAACATACAGATGTAAGCTATTTCTCACAAAATCTTGTACTTTGTAACAAGTCCTTGAAAGGAGAATAATTTATAATTCAAGGCTTAGGCATTACTTATCTTGAAGTATATAACTTTACTTAAATTTCACAATAGCTCTTGGTATAAATTTTTATTTCTGTGACATGAAACCTACATACTTGCAAAAAAATTACCTTTACTGTTATTGTCCATAGATGGTATTGCCCAAGAGCATGTGTTGTTGCAGTTTCCTGACAAGCTGTAACCACCAGTGTTTTCCAAGCTGATGCTATGGCATCCTTTATCACAAAAATAAAGATAATCATTCAAACAATGAAAATTCAACTGGTTGTATGTATATTGGCATGAACTTAAGGTATAGATATTTTGTGTATCTTGCATAACAAATCAATCTGTTAAGAGACATTATAAATATTAACTCTTTAAACCTGTAATTTTTTTGCATTCTGCTGGAATTAGCTTCATAATTCCTAATAATTATCACCATAACTTATAACAGTTCAATTTTATTAATTTTTGTGGATAACAACTTGGTTTGGATTTGTTTTTTAGCCAAAAAGACATAAATGATATCAGATGCTGTTAACATGTGATGGGTAAATTGGGATTTTTGGCTTGCAGCATCCACTCGGGTTTAAGGAGTTAAGTCTGCTGGTAATGCTGCCTATTAAAAATGTAACAGATTCAGAAATGTTTGAAATACAAATAATTACAAGAACAGTAAACTGTTATTGATCAAATAAATAAGATATTACTCTTCATGTAATTACTTGTATTTCAGGCTATGTAAATTTGTGTTTAGTAAATTCGGAAATAAAAATACATGCTTTTCAGTTTTCATCTTGCAAAGTTTTGTAATGATTAAAAAAAAAGAAGTTGTTGTTGTGTTTAGCTTTTGTTACATGATGGGTTATTTGTGCACTGTTCAATGTGAGGACTTAATTCCTGACTTTTAGCACTGCAAGTCTGTAAACTTAACACTGACCCATCAGGTGAAATAAGGAAAGGAAACCAAACATTTTTCAAATTAATATGCAAAAATATGATAAAATGAGTAAAAATTGGAATCATAACTAAAGGATACAAATCAAGATTCTCAAAGATATGTATAATACAAAAGACTATTTTAAGTAAATATATCTTTTAATACTTTTTCTCATATATTAAACAAAAATGGCAAATAAATAAAAATTTTATCTGAAAAACTTAATAAAATTGAGAAGAATAAAAATTTAAACTACAAATGTTTTTTATGTCTATGTTAAATTTATGAGGCTATTCAGTGTTTAGCTTTACATTGCTTAGTATTTTTAAATACTGTTCTTCTATTTCAATTTTGAAACAATAGCTAAAACTCACACCCTACATTTTCTTTACATTTTACTATAATCAATAGGTGAAGTTACCAGTTTCTTCTAAAACTAAAAATTTTATGGTTTTTCTACAATTAATTAAAGAATGCTTAGATAGGACTAAATTACAATGCAAATACTCGTTAGACAGAATAAACATTAACGAAAAACAAAATGTTGCAAATTTTTATGGATTCAATAAGTAATAACATTACCAAATAATAAAGTAAAAAGACAGAATATCCTTTGTGCTCTGAATAGAAAACAGAAATACTACAGAGAAGAAAATGGTAATATTAAATATTAGGTTTGTATCTTAGTTTGTATATAGTGTCTTGAAGAAGAGATATTTTTATATCCTCTTGTTGAAGTGGTTAGTGAATGAAGATAAAATCTGAAAGAAATTGTAGTTTTAATCTTCTTTTAATTGAAACTTGTGAAATTTTAAAAACATAAATTTTACTCATGTAAACTGTGATTTATTTATACACTACAATCTGCAACTAAGTAATGGCAAAGTGTCTGGTATCTATGATTTAAACTGAGTGGATAGAGTGAAATTAGGTTCAGGCCAGTAATCAAGACTTAATGAGGCTTAGATATTTAGAATGCTCTTAGTGGTACCATACATTAAATCCATTAGATAACAAAATTACGAAAAATATAAAAATACTTATTTTAACACTATGCATTTCTTCCCTGCACATTACAACAGCAATGCAACTCATGTATAAGCACATGTAAAAACAAGACTCTGTAAAACACTAAAATACACAAGAAAAACATTCAACAGTATTTTCAATGGAGAAAAAAAATGTCCTTGGCCCAGTAATTGTTAATTAAGATAATATTATTAGATGATTAGAGTGACAACTTTTTCTATAACTTTAGGATAACCATATTTTTTGTATTCTATAACCAGGAAACTTTAGAGGTTTGAACCTGAGTTACCTGGTGTTAAATTATGCCTAATAAAATCATAATTACCAAGAAAATAAGGGGAAAACAGATACTATTCTGGACAAGCATGAGTGGATGATCATGTTATTTAAATTTAATATTAATTGAGAATGAGAAATAACCAAAGTTTAGGAAAATCTGGGGCTACTATATGAAGACTGTCATTGGATTCATGCCTTTTCCTGCATTTTCTTGTGAAAATTTTGTCACGATAAGGTCCATTTCAGTATACAGAAATGATTTCTTACAGATAGCATTATAGTAAATATTTATTCCAAGTTTCTCCCAATTGCATTACCTTTAAAAAAAAAAGAAAAAAGAAAGAAAGTGCACCATTAACTATTATGTGTAGCAAATAGGAATCACTGGGATGAATGAATACAGCAAAATTAGGGATAAAAACTAGCTTACAAGTTTAAAAAATATATACATGGCAATGAATAACTTGGTGGTGATAATTAACAACACAAGTATTTATAGTATAATTTCATTTTCAAGTATAAATAAAAAAAAATATTTCAAATACTTCACAGAATATATAAATTTTCTTTTATTCAAAACTTTTGATTCATTTGTTGAAGTTTTAACATTTTGAAAAACGTCTTGTACCAGTGTTTAACATTGCTACCAAAATCTTACACTCTGATATACACTGAGTGGTCACAAGTAAACAGACACCT